TGTGCTTAATTACAAACAAACAAACTCAACTTTTGAATTACGTGAACATAATGTTACATACGGTCTCATTCTGTTTTTATACGTAGTCACTGTAAACTATAGAAATTGTGTAAATCTCTATGCAAAGAAAGTCGGTTAAATAACGTAAAGAAGATTCTGCTGTTAATATATATACACATATATTAGTACAAATACGTTAAATTTCTCTAAGGATATTGAAGCCCATGTAATAATCGTCCTCTTTCTGTTAGTTCTCCTAGTCCAACTTTTTCATCATTTCCTTTTCTGTCACGATTCTTAAACAATTTCTATTATGTGTTAAACGTAAAAATACTGGTAATTTAATTACTTTTATTTCCATATTCAAGCATTTGTTATTTCCAGTGTGATTTTATTTGCTTTATACTTTATTAATAACACTATTCATCGCATCTGACAACAAACAGTACGTAAATACAGTACACACTTATCAAGTTTTGCATCTGTCAGCTAAATATATTTTCATAATTGTCCAAGTGTTTTTCTAGGAAAACGTTCAACACCTACTATACTTCCCAGGATGTGGTATATGATTTATTTTAAGAAGACATTTATTGAGAAACTTTATAAATTCATAATATATTTTAATAAACTGTTTTGATAAGGCTCACACATTAGTGGAAATGATTTATTGGGAATGAAAATAAAACAAAAATTAACAAAAAATAAGATATTTTTTATTAGTAATGATATTTGAATATCTGTAACCTAAGATATAAAAAAAAGTAAATATATGAATTGGAAAAACAAATAAGCCTCTTATCTGTATTATAGTTTTGTTTAGTAATGTGTAATTCTGAATGATTTTTCAGTGCATTTGTAAAAGTTCCTACATTAAACATAATTATATATTTTTTATGCAGGAAAACTTGTTGCGGGATATGTAGTCAAGCCTAACGGTCAGTGGCTGTTGATTGGAAAACATGATCCTCTGAAACCGCAGGTATTTGGACAAACCATTCGATAATCATTGAAAATGTGTGTAATTAAAGCTAACCAGATAATGTGAGAACTATCGAACAATTCTATATAAAAAAAAAATATTATTCTTAATAACT